CAGCCGCAGCAGCAGCGGTTACGGCCGCCAAAGCAGGAGTCTTTTGCCTCCACAAAAGCTCAAAAGTATTTATTTTCGGAATTAATCTTTTGACATTTAATTTGCTTCCATTTGGAGCTGCGTGGGGCGGGGAAGGCTCTTGGTTTTGAGGTGTACGTACACGCCGTGCTGCACCAGGTGACCCCGAGCAGCAAAGATGTCGCAGTCAAAACGCCTCTTGAACTTTTCTGCCGGTAAATAGAAATAAAATTAAATTATTTAATTTATGAAATTAAACCATTTAATTTTATTTCCTTTTTATTCGCCATCTAAACGCGCACATGTGTCCGTACACCTGAAACCCCTGCGGTGTCTGGCCGCCTGCGGCAACAGACAGCAACATAACATTTGCTGCTGCTGCTGCTGCTGCTGCTTCCGCTGCTGCTGCTGCTGCTGCTGCTTCCGCTGCTGCTGCTGCTGCAGGGCCCTGCCAGCTGCCTGTGGAGGTCATGGAAGATGTGCAGCGCGAGCTGGTCGACTTCAGAGGCTGGGGAATCAGCGTGATGGAAATGGTTTGTTGCTGTCGCTCTTGCTGCTGCTGCTGCTGCTGCTCTTGCTGCTGCTCCCCTTTGCTGCTGCTCTTGCTGCTGCTGCTGCTGCTCTCGCTGCTGCTGCCACTAGGGCACTTAGCCCTGCGCAGCCGGAGCCAGTGCTTTTCCCTCTGCTGCTGCTGCAGCATCCCTGCTGCTGCTGCTGCTGCTGCTGCTGCAGAGCCACCGCGGCCCGCACTTCAAGAAGGTGCTGCAGGAAGCAAAAGAAGCAGCAACTCGTTTTCTTGAAATTCCCCAAACTCACAATTTGCTGTTCATGTCTGGAGGGGCCACAGCGCAGTTTGCTGCTGAGGCTTTAAACCTTTTAACTCCGGAGTTTCCCAGGGCCGACTACGCCATCACGGGGTAAACCCTAAACCCTAAACCCTAAACCCTAAACCCTATACCCTAAACCCTAGGCGCTGGCGCTGCGCCGAGTGCTGGCGCCGCCTAGACCCTAGCAAGGCTCTTCTCGCTTCCTCTCCAGCCGCCAGCCGCGCTCAGCACTCAGGGTCTAGGGTTTAGGGTTTAGGGTTTAGGGTTTAGGGTTTAGGGTTTGAGGCAGGTACTGGAGCAAATACGCCATGAAAGAAGCCTCCATGTACGGGGAAACAAAAGCTGTCACAGATGCTGCTGCTAAAGACTACCTCGAAATAGACCCTGTCGAAACTTGGGAAATGAGCGAAAAGGTAGGGTTTAGC